TCCCCTTGGCTTTTGTTCAGCCGCCCTGAGTCCCTTTGGGAATAGGGCGGTATACAAATCGAATAAATACAAATCCAAATCCAATTGTTTGTGATGTCAGTTCCTTCGCGGCTTCCTCTGGAAAGCCAACTGTGGCATTTGCCCGCCAGTGGACCAATGGGGAAGCACCTGATGGATTTGGGGAAATGTGCCAGGAGAAGAAAGAGGAGCGTATGGGAAGGGGAAGGGAGAGGGTAGGTATGATGGTCATAGGAATAGGGGGAAGAAAGGCTCCTCTCAATGGCTCCCTGTCAGACAAATGCTTCGACGTCTATAAATACCCGGGCAACGCCGAGTTATCAGCTAGTAATTAAAGCACAGGAACAAAATTCTACCATGGAACTTCCCAATCCCAAAATGGGCCACTCTGAATCTTATGAAAGTAGCTGGACACCAAAACAAATTTCAGGGTTGGAATATTCTGTGACAGGATATTTTGCCTACCCTATTTATGAAATGCAGTTGATATAATTATTCTCTGCATGCTGAAGATTTCCCCCTTTTGAGTCCATTCAACTAATAGTTCTACTGGGAGCATCCCATGGTTTTTTTGAGGCATCCATTCAAATCTTTCGGGGTGGTCATTCAAGAATGTTAAGGGTCATATTGCGCCCCGAGGCATTGTTGGGTTAAGGGGAAGTAGATCTGCTAAAATGAAAAGGTATCGGGAATATAGCTAGGGCCCATTAAAAGTTCAAATTCTTCTTGGACTCAACCCACCAAGAGAAAGAATTGGGGTGACTGCTAGGTTTAGAGCCATCAACCCCAAACTTTGTGGATCACTATTTCTTCAGGTGAACTATCAGACTTCCACAGACAGGATGTCTATGGAGATTCTCAATCATCCAGGTCATGGTTGTCCCAAAGGAGCTCTTTTCAAAAGGCAACTGGATTTTTGTGTTTTCTTTTTTTTATTGAAGACATTTTGCTTCTCAATCCAAGAAGCTTCTTCAGTTCTGACTGAATGGTGTAGAATTCTCCACCATTCAGTCGGAACTTAAAAATATGCACCTCCACATAACAAAGTCTCACCTGGAATGGTCATCGGTGCAGCCCCAGTGCTGCCAGCTGCAAGAACAACAAAAACATAATATAAGTTCATGCAAATTCAATTATAGCCCCATTTCAAGGCACTGAACCTGGACACCCTTCTCCATCTGCTCTGCTGACTTTCACATGTGCTGAGACTTGCAACAGGCTATATAAACATTTGTCTAAAATTCTCTAGCAAATCCTCCATCAAGCAGTCTACAAGCTTCTAATGACTCACATTCCAGAATCCCATTCCTATAGGATGACAAGGAATTTAGGGACCTGTTATTCCCAACACAGTGGAAAGCAACAAAGATTGGGTTGGGACTTCTGGGAGCTGAAATCCACACATGTATGTATGTATGTATGTATGTATGTATGTATGTATGTATGTATGTATATGCATACATATAGGTATGTATGTGAACATATATGGGAAAGGTGAGGTTCAGTGGTGGGATTCAGCCAGTTCGCACCTATTCGGGAGAACCGGTTGTTAACTTTCTAAGCAGTTCGGAGAACC